CCTAGACCCTAAACCCCCAACCCCTTTACCCTAAACCCTGAACCCTAAACCCTAAACCCCAAACCCCTGTACCCTAGACTCTAAAGGCCCTACAACAAAGACCCGCAGCTGCCGCAGCAGCGGCACTGCCCAAGATGCAAGGTGATGAAGACAGCTGCTTAAAGGAATAGGGTTCCTTTAGAGGCATCCCTACAAGGGTTCTATAGGGGATCTATGGTAGGGTTCTTTTGTAGGGTCCTTAACAATTAGAATAGGGTTTTTGGGGGCTCATGGTATGTAGGTCACAGGACTTTAAGCCTGGCAACTATACTGACAACCCCAAACCCTAAACCCTGCAAGCCCTAAACCAGGTTCTTAGGGATAAGGCTTTACGTTTTAGGGTTAAGGATTAGGGTTAGGGCTTCGGGTTAGAGGTTGAGGATTCAGGTTTAGCGTCCGAATTTTCGATGGTTTAGGGTTTACGGTTTAGGGGTTTAGGGGTTTAGGGTTTGGGGTTTAGGGTTTAGGGTTTAGGGGTTTAGGGGTTTAGGGTTTGGGGTTTAGGGTTTAGGGTTTTTATCCCAAATGAGATCTTCTTCGCGAATTTTCTTGTGCTGCCATGCCAGGGTTTTGGGTGTGGCCGCGTCTTACTACGGTACAGTGGAGTTCCGTGTTCCGTAATGTTGCTTAAGCCGTTTCGAGTTTTCAACATCGGCCACAAGGCACCATTTGGGGCTTAATTAACACAGGTTCGAATAGATACTTCGTGATAGTAACTTAATGTATTCCATTGAATTGTAAACCCTTTTGGAACTGATAAGTCAGTTTAAACCTGAATACTTACATGAACCCTTAGAGGAGCGTTATTGCAACTGTTGAGGTGCCTCGCTGTTCTTTCGATCGCCATCTAGGGTGGCTTGGACCCATTGACGGTGACCCAAGCCGTCAACAAAGCCTAAACCTCTCATCCTCCATCCGAAATTTGGGCCAAGACCCCTGAACCCCTTAAGCCCTAAACCTTAACCAATTAACCCCTTGAGCCCTAAACGCCTTAACCCCTAAACCCCTAAACCCCTGAACCCCGAAACCCCGAAACCCCTTAAACCCCTTAAGCCCTAAACCCCTTAAACCCCGAAACCCCATAAACCCCTAAACCCCGAAACCCCTAAAGCCCATTAAGCCCTAAGCCCCATAAACCCCCAAACCCCTAAACCCCGAAACCCTAAACCCCCGAAACCCCTAAACCCCGTGAGCCGTAAACCCCTTAAGCCCCAAACCGCCTAAACGCCTTAAGCCCTAAACCCCGAAACCCCTAAACCCCTGAACCCCGAAACCCCTGAACCCCGAAAGCCTAAACTCACCGAAGCTCCAAGAAGGTTTGGGGACGCTTGGTCCGCAGCCCTTGCGAGCTTGAGCAGCGCAGTGAGCGGTGACGGTTTTTTGCTAAACTTCCAGGTTTAGGTATTAGGGTTTAGGGTTATAGGGTCTTCCCTTAACCCTACACCTACAGGGGGTCTTCTTTTACAGGAGTTTTGTAAGGGTTTTCTGAGGGTATTTACGGGTTTCTAGTACGGTTTTTCGTGCTGGATAAGGAGCATCATAGGGTTTTAGTGGGGTCTGTTAAGGGCAGTGTAGGATGATCGGCCGCCGCTTCTTTAAGGTCAATCGTCTTGGGGTTTCAGGCCTGTTATCAGATTTTTTTGAGTGTAAGGGTTTTTAAGGCCATGGGTTTCAGAGAACGACTATGATTAGTAATGCCATCAGCTTACTACAGCCCAATATGTACTTGCATATGAACAGTTGTTGTATACTATTCCCACAAACTCGATTTCAATGGTCAGGGCCTCTATAAATTAAAACCCCTAAACCCTAATCCCTAAACCCTAAAGCCTAAAGCCTAAAGTCTTAAAATAGCTTCATGATGCAACCCTTATAGACCACATTCAAGAAATCCGACGGCCTCCATCTAATGTAGGGGCCTTAATAATTAGAACGGGGCTTTGGGGGTTCCTTTTTATAATCATAGTATAATATACCCCAAACCCTATTCTAATCATTAAGGCCCCTATACCCCAAACCCATATAGTAGCCCTTATAGAACCCTTTAAGGAACCCTGAAAAGGAGCCCCAAACCCTAAACCCTAAACCCTAAACCTTTTAAGGAACCCTGAAAAGGAGCGCCAAAACCCTTTTCTAATTCTTAAGGCCCCCTATACTGTGTTAGGGTTCAGGTCCAGGGTCCTTGGGTTTAGGGTATAGGGTTTAGGGTTTAGGGTTTAGTAATAGGGTTTCGGGTTTAGGGTTTAGGGTTGATGGCGGTGGGTTTGATGATCTTAGGGGTCAAGGTCTTCGGTGTGAATTGGGGATTTGGGTTTAGAAACTGATAGGCTTTAGGCTTTAGGTTTTAGGGTTTTGGGTTCAGGCTTTAGGCTTAGGGTTTAGGGTTTAAACCCTAAACCCTAAACCCTAAACCCTAAACCCTAAACCCTAAACCGTTTTAGGTTTAGGTTTAGGGTTTTG